TGTTTAGGATAATGCCATCCTCCCCAGATAGTTTCAGACAGAACAGTAGGAGGAGCTTGTTGATTAATCTTCCTGTATACTGAAGAAATACTGATTGAACCGTTAATACAGCATCCAGTAACCGCGTTTGGGAGATTATCAACATTTCTAAATTTTACTATCAACAAATCCCTCACTCTTAGGAGTTGCTTCCACATCCATGAGTGATTTTCTTTGCCTTGAACTTGCCAAATATTATTTTGTCTTAGGTAGTTTCCATGCACCCATTTGATCCAAAGTATGTCTTTTTTGAGATGAATCAGCCAAAGAAGTTTAGCAGCAGAAGCATAATTCCATATCTTTGTAGAAAAAACTCCCAGTCCTCCATGCTTTAAAAGATAGAAGACCAAGATACCAAGTGAATTTTGTGCCCCCAAAGGAATCCCGCACACATGCTGTCAATCTTTTCTAACACTTTGATTGGCAATATGTAATTGCTAGTCCAGAAAATCTGAATTCCTAAGATAACTGTCTTGATCAATTGTAATCTACCAGCATAGGACAAAGTTCTTCTATTTTGCCAGCTTTGAAATTGTTCTGATATTTTGTTTATAAGTGGAGAGCAATCCAGCCATGAAAGCCTCTTTGAGATGAGAGGAACACCCAAGTATCTTATAGGAAGAACACCTTCTGGGAAGTTAAGATAGGAGCTTATCTGAGCCTTCAAATCATCACTAATACCACTCATATACAATGAGCATTTGGCAGAGTTTGGTTCCAGTCCAGAGACTTGACTGAATTCCTTAAGACAGTCATTTAATCTTGATACTGAGTTCATATCAGCTTTGCAAAATAATAGAAGATCATCTGCAAATAGAAGATGAGTAATTTTCATTCTAGAGCATTTGGGATGAAATTTAAATAATCTGTCTTCCTTGAGGAAATCCAGTCTTCTTGATAGATACTCCATTCCAATTACAAATAGGTAGGGGGATAATGGATCTCCTTGTCTAAGCCCTCATGCACCTTGAAAATATCCATGTAGTGTACCATTGATTGATAGTGAATACTTTGGAGTTGAAACACATTCCATGATCCAAGTAATTATAGTTACAGGAAAACCCAGTCCTGTCAACATGTATCTTATAAAATCCCAACTAATGGTGTCAAATGCCTTTCTCAAATCAATGTTTAAGATGGCTCTTGGAGAAGTGTTTTTCCTGTTATAATGCTTGATGAGCTCATGTGCTAAGAGAATATTACTAGAAATAAGTCTCCCCTTGACAAATGCACTTTGAGCATCATTAACCAAGTATCCCATGACCTTTTGAATTCTACCAGCAATGATTTTTGATATTATTTTATACACGCAGTTGCAGTAAGCAATTGGTCTAAATTCATTAGCAGATATAGGATTGAGAACTTTTGGCACCAAAGTAATAGATGTAGTAGTAAATGTACCTAGTAGCTTTCCTGATATGAAAAATTCCTCAACTGCTGCATATAGATCTTCTCCAATGACATTCCAAGAAGCTTAGTAGAAGAGAGCACCAAATCCATCAGGACCAGGACTCTTGTCATTTGACATAGAGAAAACTGCTTCTTTGATTTCCTTCCTTGATACAGGCAAACTAAGCATAGATCTTTGATCAGATGTGAGCAGAGGGCCATTATTAATCACCTCAGCATCTGGTATAGAAGTTGAAACTGAAGTACCCAGAAGATTTTTATAGTATTGTATAAATTCTTCAATGATCTCTGATTTTTCTGTGATTCTGACACCATTACCATCATATATAGAAAGTATTCTGTTATAATGCCTTTTCTTTTTCATGATAGAGTGAAAAAATTATGAGCTTTTATCTCCATATAATCCCCATTTTATATTTGCTCTCTGCCTGTAGAAAGATGTTTCACAATCCATAAGTCTGACATATTTGTTTAAGCAGTCTTTTTCCTTAGATATCAGTACAGGATTGAAAAGGTCTTCATTAAGCAACCCTTGAATGTTAGCTAGCTCACTTTTGGCTCTATCCACTTGCTCACTTATATTCATGAAATGATTCTTATTTAGCACTTTTAGTACAGGCTTGAGCCTTTTGAGCTTTGTGTGAAATTTGTACATCTCATATCCATATAATTCTTGTTCCCACACTGAGCTGATTGTAGAAATAAACTCTGAATGCTTAGTCCACATGTTGAAAAATTTGAAAGGTCTTTTACCCGCAATCTCATCATCTCCTATTGTTAATAGGGCAGGAGAGTGATCAGAGCAACTAGGCATGAGGAATTCCACTTGACTGGATGTATAATTGTGGATCCATTCTTCATTTACCAAGCATCTGTCCAATCTGGACCATATTCTTGAATCAGCTTCCTGCTTATTACACCAAATGAAAAAGCATCCAGTAGATCTGATGTGAGTTAATTGACTTGAACTGATAAAATTCTGAAAATCCTCAGTATCAGCTTGAGAGATTGGTGCACCTCCTATCTTTTCATCACTGCTAATAATAGCATTAAAATCCCCTCCTATCACCCAGGGACAGTTGACATTCTGTTTATATGCTAATAAATCATTCCAAAGGGCCTTCCTGCCTATCATTTAATTAAGAGCATATACTATAGTGCACAAACATGTAATTCTGCCATCTCTGGAAACTATAGAGCATGTCATATATTGATCAGATGATAAAATTTTTTGAACTGTGAGAACATCATTATCCCAGAGAATCCATATCCTTCCATTATTTGCTTCTTGAACATTTATGATCCATTTCCAGTCTTTTGTTATATTTTTTGCCAACATCTGCATTTTACTTTTAGGGAGTTTTGTTTCCAAAAGAGCAAGGAAAGAGATATTATAGTCTTGAATAAGTTGCTTCACAACCCTATGTTTAGAGGATTTATTAAACCCTCTAATATTCCAAATTGCAAGATGCATTATTTGGATGTCCCCCCTTTATCTCCAGGGGGATCAGTTTGTTTTTCCAGAAGAGAGAGTATGGATGGTTGAATACATGAGGTACCTTTCTCAGCAAATATATTACTCTTTTTGCTATATTAGATCTATTGACATTTGTAAATCCAGATGTATTGACCAGTGGAGATGAAAAACTGAATACCTAATTCCCAGCCATATGATGTGCATGTTTTGTAGTAGCCTGCTCAGGATAGTCTCTAGTATCTTGCATTCCCTGAGTTGATATATTTGGAGTATTTTCTCTCTCATTTACAGGATTTTCAGGTAAGTTTCTGCCTCTGAGAGTCTAAGTATCAGTCTGTGCATGTTTTGCTACAGGAATTGCAGAATCACTCTTAGATCTTTCTCCCCCAGTCCCATTTTGAATTATAGTCATTTATCACTTCAGGATGTTCTGAGTTAGCCTGAGCTTCTTTTCCAACCTGCTTGTTAATAGGCACCCATACTTTTTTAGTTCTATTTCTCCTGCATTGCTCAGTATTATATCCAACCATACTACATAAGGTACACCATCTAGGTTTAAATTCATACAGTACTGGTTGCTTATAGTTCCTTCCATCAGGCCCTTGGATAATCAATTGATCTGGCAAATGCTCCTTCAAAGGAAATTTAACTTCCAATAGTACTCTTGCATAGCTCAGCCTCTGTCTGGTAGCTGTTAGCTTATCAGTTGCAATTAGTTTTCCAATAAGACTAGCAACCTTACTGATACCAGTTGAGCTCCATAAGTTGAGCCTCAAATTTGGAAATTGTACCCACATTGGGTAGTAGAAATCCTGCAGATTTTCTAAGTCTGTGTCAATACTCCATGGCTTTAACATCAAAGGCCTAGATCCAAAGAACCAAGGGCCAGCCTCTAACACATCTCGCATTTGCTTCTCAGTTTGAAAATCAAAAAAGAACAATCCTTGTTTGATAATGGAGATCTTTGGAATTGAAATTTTACCCCAAAATTTATTAACAAAAGATTCCATAGATTTGAATTTAGCATTTAGCCCAATAACATGCCCTAATAAAGCAGATTTCCAAAGAACTTCTCCTTCTGTCCATTCGTCAGAATTGAATGAAACAGTATTTGATTGAGAAGATGGAAAGAAACTTAGAGAAAGTCCATTGCCAGATTTCCTGTTATCAGCAAAAAGACTAACAAAAGACTTTCGTGGTTCAGGCTCAGCATTCTCCTTTGATTCCTCAACAATCAGATTTTCATCAGCTGATTTTTCCAAATTTTCATTAACAGATTCATCTATTTCCTCTGTTTCCAGATCTATAGATTTATCAGCTCTATTTTTTTTTGGTCAATGAAATAAATTTTATTCATCACCAAATTTTGAAATAGGAGTGCAACAAGAACTACCAGAAACCTATCTGGTAACCAAGGAACTACAGACTCTCTAACAATTTACAATTTTGCTATTTCTTCCCTCAAGCACTCAGGAACATCTTCATTAAGAACCTTTGAAAGCAACGAAATCTTTATTTCCTTGATAAGTAGATCAGGGCTACGGGCTTTTTGTTGAAAAATTCTCTGATTTCTCTCCTTCCATATCCAATACACAGCTCCAGATAACATCATCCTCTTCAGTTTCTTCTTGAATCCAAGCCCCCTCAAATTGTTGCTGTACCACCGCAATACCTGATTCCAGTAGCAGGATCTCCACGAAAACTTCAGCCATGCCATCAAATTGTTCCATACATAGGAAGAGAACTGGCATTCAAAGAACAAGTGATTTCTAGATTCTTGATGATTTACAGAATCAGCACAGAGCACACACTGGTTGTCTTCCAATATACCCATGCGACACAACCTATCCTTAGTCAGAAGCTTCGACAGAGTAGCAAGCCATAGAATCATCGAATGCTTTGGATAATGCAATCCCCCCCAAACTGTGTTCGCCCAGGGTACAACAGCTGCAGATTGAGATATGGCATTATAAACAGATGAGATTTTCATTGTCTCATTATTGTGACAGTTAGCAATGATTCTATGGAGGTTATACACATTCCCAAACCTCCTCAACACCAAATCCCTCACCCTGAGGATTTGTCTCCACATCCATGAATCACTTTTTCTCGGTTGAACTTGCCAAATCTCCTGTTGTTTTAAATAATTTCCATGCACCCATTTTATCCACAAGAGATCTTTTTTAGAGTGTATCATCCATAACATCTTGATTGCTGCAGCATAGTTCCATAATTTGGAGGAGAATAGCCCCAGACCTCCTAGCTTCTTATCCTTACAGACTTCTGTCCAGGAGACCAGATGGATTTTGCTTCCCCATAAGAAAGCAGACCAAATCATGTCAATTTTTTCCAGCACCTTCATCGGCAAGATATAATTACTTGTCCAGTAAGTTTGAATACCCAAGATAACAGTTTTTATAAGTTGAATTCTCCCTGCATAAGATAGGTTCTTCCTACTTTGCCAGTCTTGAAGTTTATCTGAAATTTTTGAGATCAATGATGAACAATCCAGGTAAGAGAGCCTTTTTGAGACCAATGGCACTCCTAAGTATCTCATATGTAAAGAACCCTCTGGAAAATTTAGATATGAGCATATCAGATCTTTAGAAATATCATCAATTCCACTCAAGAGTACAGAGCTTTTGTAAGAATTGGCCTCCAATCCAGATACTTTACTAAACTCTTGAAGACAGTTATTAATTTTGGCTATAGAATCCATGTCAGCTCTACAAAAGAGCAGTAGATCATCAGCAAATATCAAGTGAGTAATACCCATCTTAGCACATTTTGGATGATATTTAAACAGTCTGTCTGTGCTAGCAAATATCAAGTGAGTAATACCCATCTTAGCACATTTTGGATGATATTTAAACAGTCTGTCTGTGCTGAGAAATTTGAGTTTTCTGGATAGATACTCCATACCAAGCACAAACAAATAGGGAGACAACGGATCTCCTTGCCTCAGTCCTCTAGCTCCCTCAAAGTAGCCATGTAAAGAGCCATTAAGTGACAAGGAGAACTTGGAGGTAGAAATGCATTCCATCACCCATGTAACGCCATGTAAAGAGCCATTAAGTGACAAGGAGAACTTGGAGGTAGAAATGCATTCCATCACCCATGTAACCATATTATTAGGGAATCCCAGACCTGTCAGCATAGCCTTGATAAAATTCCAATTTATAGTGTCAAATGCCTTCCTCAAATCAATGTTAAGGATAGCCCTTGGTGAGACATTCTTCCTGCCATAGTGTTTTAAGAGTTCATGTGCTAGGAGAATATTGTTAGAAATCAGCCTGCCCTTGACAAATGCACTCTGAGCATCATCAATCAGATAGCCAATAACATTCTGTATTCTAGCGGCAATAATTTTTGATATCACTTTGTAGACACAGTTGCAGCAAGAGATAGGTCTATAATCAGAGGGAGATCTTGGGTTAAGAATTTTAGGCACCAATGTGATGGAGGTTGAGTTGAAGGTGCCAAGGAGCTTGCCAGTATAAAAGAATTCTTCCACAGCTTTACACATCTCATCTCCAATTACATTCCAAGCAGTTTTAAAAAATGAAGCACTAAATCCATCAGGACCAGGGCTTCTATCATCAGACATAGTGAAAACAGCAAGTTTTATTTCCTCTTTAGTGATAGGAGAGGCTAAAAATTCCCTTTGACTGGATGAGAGAATAGGACCATTGGTTATTGTAGTAATGTCAGGATCAGCAACATTTCCTGATACTCCCAATAAACTCTTGTAGTACTTAATAAGCTCATTGATGATTGTGTCCATGTCAGATATTCTGTTTCCATCCTCAGTGTACAGAGATAGCACCCTATTTTGATGCCTTCTAGCTTTCATGGTTGAGTGGAAGAAATGAGAGGATTTGTCTCCTTGAATAGCCTACTTTATGCTTGCTTTCTGCCTATAAAAAGATTCTTCACATTGGAGTAAAGAGGTGTATTTTTTCAAGCACTTTTATGCTTGCTTTCTGCCTATAAAAAGATTCTTCACATTGGAGTAAAGAGGTGTATTTTTTCAAGCACTCCTTCTCTTTGGAAATAAGATGAGAGTTGAATAAGTCAGTACTCATCCTATTTTGGATATCAGATAGCTCCTGTTTGGCTCTTAGCACCTATTCACTAATATTCATGAAATGTCTTCTATTTAATTCTTTGAGGGCAGGTTTGAGCATTTTCAGCTTGGAAGATAGTTTGTACATATAATAGCCTTGCACATCCTGCTGCCAAATAGATCTGACTATAGAGAGATATTCAGTATGTTTAGTCCACATCTTGAAAATTTTGAATGGTTTTTTCCCCTGAAAATCATCATCTCCAACTGTAAGGAGGGCTGGAGAATGATCAGAACAGACTGGCTGTAAAAAGTCTACTTGACTTGTTGTATACTGTAGGATCCATAAGTCATTGACCAAAACTCTGTCTAATCTACTCCAAACTCTAGTATCAGCTTCCTGTTTGTTATTCCATGTGTAGTAGCACCCAGTAGTCTTAATATGCACCAGTTGATTAGAAGAAATGAAGTGTTGAAAATCTTCAGTATCTGCTCCTGTAGTTGGTGCACCTCCCAATTTTTCATCACCATTGATAATGGCATTAAAATCTCCCCCAACTAGCCATGGGCAATCAACTGATAGCTTGAAGCCTTGAAGTTCCTGCCATAATACTTTTCTTCCATCTCTTTGATTCAGAGCATAAACCACAGTCATTAAGCAAGCGAGCCTGCCATCCTTTGTGCTGACTGAACATGTAACATATTGCATAGAAGTTTTGACACACTGGATAGAAAGAATATCACTATTTCAAAGAATCCAAATTCTTCCATTACCTGCTTCTTGAATATTAGAAATCCATTCCCAATTTTTAACAATTTTTTGAGCTATTTTAGTCATATTTATTTTTTGAGCTATTTTATCCATATTTCCTGCAGAAAGCTTTGTTTCCAATAGGGCTATAAAAGGTAATTTATAGTCTTGAATGAATTGCTTCACAATCAAGTGTTTAGGGGATTTATTAAATCCCCTAATATTCCAAATAGCAAGGTGCATTATTGTTCTCCTACCCTATCTATGTAACAGGGGTCAAAATCTAGAGTGTGAGATTCCAGAGGAGAGAAAGTGGATACCTGGATTTGATTCCCTGGAGCTCTAGCTAGAACTCTTCTTGCAATATTTGACCTATTAACACTTGAAAACCCAGAAGAATTAACTGTTGGAGAAGAAATTTGATGAAAGTTGCCAAGCCAGAATTTCCAAGTCTAATGCTCTGCATATCAGACCTCATGTGCTGTGCATGTTTCCCAGCTCCAGTTTGCCCTTTATCAGGTGATAATTGAATATTATTTCCAGGTGCAGGTAAAACATGAGCATTTTTCCCAGTATCAGTTCTCACTTCTGATACCTTTTGTGCATGTTTAGTACTTGATTGATCTTTCATTTGTTGAGCAGATGATTGAGCCAGACTATCATTAGTCAGACCATCAGAAACATGCACATGCTCAGTATTAGCTGACAGAGTGCCATTTACTTGAGTTTCAGAATCTTCCTTCCTATTAACTGGAACCCATATTTTTTTAAACTTCTGCCTTCTACAATTGTCAGTATCATGTCCAATAATATTACAGTTTGAACACCATCTAGGCTTAAGTTCATAGATAATCCTCTGACTGTGTTTTTTCCCATCTGGTCCTAGAAATTCAACTAGGTCTGGTAGAGCCTTCTTCAGGGGTAGTTGCACCTCAATTAGAACTCTAGCATAGCTAAGTCTCTGTCTGGTAGCAGTAAGCATATCAGTAGTTATAGGACATCCAATTAAGCTAGAGATTTTGCTTATTCCTGTTGTACTCCACAAATTGAGCTTCAGATTTGGTAGCTGGATCCACATTGGGTAGGAATAATCCTATATTTTCTCCATTTCAATCTCAATAGACCATGGTTTTAGCATCAAAGGCCTTGAACCAAAGAACCAAGGTTCTCCATTTCAATCTCAATAGACCATGGTTTTAGCATCAAAGGCCTTGAACCAAAGAACCAAGGCCCAGCTTCCAACACCCCCCTCATCTGTTTTAGCATCAAAGGCCTTGAACCAAAGAACCAAGGCCCAGCTTCCAACACCCCCCTCATCTGTTGATCAGATTGGAACTCAAATAAGAAAACCCCTTGCTTGAGCAAAGATATCTTAGGAATTGATAATTTGGCCCATGCTTTACTGATATATGACTCCATAGATTTGAACTTTACATTCAGTCCAATAACATGTCCAACTAGGGAGTATTTCCAATAATCCATACCCTCCCTCCATTCTTCAGCAGTAAATGTTACAGTTTCAGATGGAGAGGCTTGAATGAAATTAAGGTCAAGACCTTTGCCTAGCTTCCTGTTATCAGCAAATAAACTCACAAATGATTTCTTTGCTTCCCCCTTATCAAACACTTCTCTCTGTCCTGGGATCTCTACATTGCTTTTCTCCTCTTCTTCTAAATTGAGTTTTTCAGATTCTGCTCTTACGTTGGGGGAGGAAATCCTAATATGCTCAGACTGTGGCCTCTCAATTGAAGATTGAGCAACAAAAGGAGTAAAAATCTCAGAATCATCATCTACCATCACCGTTGAGTCATTCAAATCATTTTTCAATTCCTCATCCATTTCATCAGCCCAAGAGGGGGAAATAGAAGTCTCACCTAGTTGACGAGCTAGAGCTGGTCCAGATCTGAGAAGGCTTGGTTCTGAAATTGACTTAGATTTAGACAGGACCTCCTCCATTAGCAATTTCTTCTTAGCTCCCTTAGGGCCAGTGCTCTCCATCTCCACTGAGCTCCTGGATGAAGCTCTAAGAACCTTTACTGTTCCATTGCTTTCCATAGCATCATTTATCTCCATTGATTCCTCAAGTCCCTCAGCTGCACCCACAGAGGATGAGGAAGGGTACACAAAGATCGAGTCTCTCAAAGTAGCATCAACAATCCCCCTATTGCCATTCTTCTTCTTCTTCTTCTTCATGCGAGATCCAGGCAGTGGCGCACGATAGCAGGAGGAAATCGCCCGCTATCATACGCCTAACTAACTACCCCTTCTTTAGTGCTATTTATCAGCTCTATTTTCTAAATGAGAAGATTCCTTAATATTTTCAGCATCCAGATTAATAATACCAGATTCAAAATCACTATCGGCTTCATCATTTGCCCATAGAGTAGAGTTAGAAGAACTTAGCTGCCTAATAGCTTGAATTCCAAAGCTCTGTTGATGATGAAGATCTGAAATAGGATCAGATCTAGCAAGAATTTCTTCCATTAGCACTTTCCTCTTAGCTCCCTTTGGACCTGTACTTTCCATCTCTGCTGATATTGAAGATCTCATTTCCTCAGAAGCATCATCAGCGATTTGGGAGGGATAAGCAAAGATCGAATCTCTGATATCACTAGCACTGGCCATGGATTTCTTGTTGCTGTTCTTCTTCTTCTTCTTCATTTGAAAACTTGGCGGAGGTGCACGATAGCAAGGAAATCACCAGCTAAAATGCACCTGCTAACCGCCCCTTAAAGTTATGTTAAAACTTTTGATTTCTCTTTTTACACTCTTAATTTTTTAACTCTCGCAATTATACCATTATTTATAAAACTAATGATCCATAACCTCTCAATAGCTATGCACCTCCTCATTTTCTCAAATTATTTGGTCATTCACTAGAATATATTAATAATTTATAATGATAACAAAATTCATAAATATATGATATTTTATTATAAATAATTATTAATTATATAAAATAGTAAAAGTCATTCATTTAATAAATTAGTGTGCATAATTATAATTATTAATAATAGTATAAATAGGGGTTACTTCTTTATGTTGCAAAGAATATTACCTTGTTCGATGATTAATATTATCTTAGTAATAAAAATTTAGACGTTATAAATTAAAAATAATTTTATTTTGGAAAATTAATTTATATAAAAATATTTAGATCCATGAAATTTATGAGACATACTTTTCTCTTATTTTTCCCAAAATATTTAGTCACTCGCTAGAATATATTAATAATTTATAATGATAATAAATAAAGTTATAATTCATTATAAAAGAATTATTAATTGTATTGAAATAATAAGGTTATTTATTTAATAAAATATTTTATAATTATAGTTATTAATAATAGTATAAATAGGGGTTGATTCTTTATATTGTAAGGAATATCACCCTTTTCGATATTATAATATCATCTTAGTAATAAAAATTGGACATTATGAATTAAAAATAATTTTATTTAGAAAAGTTACTTTATATAAAAATATTGGATTTATGAAATCTATGAGTATTCACTTTTTGTTGGAAAGTAAATGTCGCATAAATTTTAAGGATCCAATATTTTTATATAAAGTACTTTTCCTAAATAATAGTATTTTTAATTTATACCATCCAATTTATTATTATTAAGATGATATTAATTATCGAGCAACGTAATATTCTTTACAACATAAATTCATATAATATTAAAAATTACTGCCATCATTTAATAAGTATGGTAATAAAATATGTCCATAACATAAATATTTAATAATATAAATGGTTTAATTATATCAATAGTGTTACTTAAACTAATGATTACATTATTATTTAATAATTATACTCCTAAATAAATTTTTTAATAATATAATTATAAGCTAATTTAAATAACTATTAAATGTATGTTAATAATAATATAAGTATTAATTATAGTATAACTTAAATTTTTTAATCATCCTGCAATTAAATAACTTTGTAAAATGTTTATATATAATTTATTAAATAATATAATATTAAATACAACATGTCCACGTGCAAAGCACGTGCATTATACTAGTATCTCCTAAAGATATTAATATGGTCACTGTAACATCTTGTCAACTCTAATTTGCTGATGATATAGTAATCCAAGTCTAGGAAGGCTTTATGATTTGTAATAATATGAACCACAATCAGAAGAGTATAGGTGAAATGGCCAATATATATCTTTCCCGATTAATGATCTTGAATTAAGTTGTCACGTCGAGGTATGTGTCCTGTATCATTTTTCATATATTTTTGCATCTACATCATACTGGATTTACGTTGTGAATAATGAAGTAGTTATATTTTTAACCATATTTATTGTACAGTGTGGACAAATTTGAAATATAGGATGATTGATTACCAAGAAACAAATGCTAAAAACCGATATAGATGATACTTAATAAAAGTCATTTCTCAAGTCTTGATTGCATCCAACTATTTTTTATTCCTGCAATATTTAAGGGTTTGATGCATAAAATGGCTATTCGAAATAAGATTTTACGAATTGCATGGGGAGAGAAAATTGGGTATGATAATAGGTTTCTTAGGCTTGATGTTTTCTTTTATTAAATGTTTTCTTATTCTAAACTTGCAACATGTAGTTTAGTGAAAAGGTCTACGAATGAGTTTAATATTCATAGCCCAACTCAACTTATTATGACATATATTACTTGTATTATGAAATAATTATATGATATGATAGATTAACATTAGAAAATTACTTAAGATATTTGTCATACCATAATAAATGCTGAGATAATACAAGTTGCGTTTTTTTTTTTTTTGGTAAATGAAAGATTTTATTCATCACCAAATGTAAGAATGAATATACATCAAGAATCTCATCAATATTGTACAAGTTGCGTTTTGTAAATATTGACAATCATGGTTTTAAGTTTGATTACCACAATCCATGGTTAGGAGGCTGCCTGATGAGAGTATCTAATGGTCTCGGTTCATTGCATTAATAGTGTACCAAGCGGATGTCTAACCTTGGATTTGTACGACTTAGATAGCGAAACAATGACAGACATTATTTTGGTGCAATAATGCTATGGCCTAGGGCTAGTTGATATATTCTCGTTACCTAATTAAGCACTTTAGTCACATCTAGGATGATGCCTTTTATATAGCAAGAAACATGGAGAGCCAAAGAGTAGCACATGCACTGAAGAATATTCATGTACATTTTGTCTGGAGTCTTTAACAATAATGCATGCCCCACAGAAGTGGGAACTCTTTCAGTTGGAGGTATGAGCTTGTCATGAAATATAAATATGTTTTTATCTCTTATTACATCAAACAGACACCAAAACAGGGTCTTAACACTATATAATAGTGTTGGAGGGAAAATTTCTGATGGAGAGGAAATTGTAAATGAGTTTATCTCTTATTACAAAAGTTTAATGGGCTCTGCAAAGCACACTTCAACTGCAGATACAAAAATTATTAGCAATGGGCCATGCCTGATGGAAAATCAAAGGAGAGAACTTTCTATGCCAATCACTGATGAAGAGATAAAAGCAGCTGTTTTTTCTATGCCAGATAATAAAGCCCCAGGGCCAGATGGATATAGTGCCTCTTTCTATAAAGCAACATGGTCTGTTATTGGTGATGAGGTTATAGCTGCTATCAGGGAATTTTTTAGATCAGGGAAGTTGCTGGGTGCTGTAAACTCAACTTACATTGCATTGATTCCTAAGGTACAATGTCCTAAAACCCCAGCTGATTTCAGACCAATCTCCTGTTGCAATTGCTTTTATAAATTCATATCAAAAATTTTAGCAAACAGAATTCAAACTGTGATGTGGTTTATCATAAATGAGGCTCAGTGTGCTTTTGTAAAGGGGAGACAAATCTCCAGTAATATCTTGCTAGTGGTTTATCATAAATGAGGCTCAGTGTGCTTTTGTAAAGGGGAGACAAATCTCCAGTAATATCTTGCTAGCACATGAACTTGTCAAGAACTATGGGTGCTTTTGTAAAGGGGAGACAAATCTCCAGTAATATCTTGCTAGCACATGAACTTGTCAAGAACTATGGCAGGAAAAATCTTTCACCCAGAGTAATGATAAA